AAGTTAGGTGTATTCAGACTTCTCTATACTGTTTCATTCAGTCAGGTCAGCTGAGACCCATAAATAAGTGACATTATCATCTGCACAGCTTCTCTCCGATCACTCGGGTCTGATTCCAGATGTTCTGATCACATCTGTGTTATGGAATCACACACACAGTCACACTGTGACCGAAATGCCTCAGGCTTTACGTGTTTGTGGTTTATTGCTGTAAATATATGAGGATTCATTTCATTCATAACCATTTATTATTCTGAAACATTTGCATCAACCATGTAAACAAAAATACCTAACGATCATTTCACATTTCAAGAAATCAAATCTCTTTAGAGTCAAATCTGCTGTACAGCACAAAATGAAGCTGGACTGCATGTATTTCAGTAAACACATTATTTGCCGGAGCTGAACGCAGCATGAGTCACTGGTTACGTGTGCAGCTGATTGATAGATCTCCTTCAATTGACGAAACAATGTTATCTTTATTTTTAAGAAAAACACAGCACCCAGTATTAACAAAATCCATCCTGATCACTGTCTCATTATTTTACATGACAGGGTTAACATGTATATACGTTTAAATGTGCTTCAAATATCTTCCCCTTCAATGTATTTGCTTGAAATCTTTACATGGACAGCAAACACCATTATTATCAGCTCATGATCTGTTCCACTGGCTTTCTGAGATGTTCTCTTCAAGGTTAAGGATGACATGAAAACAAGGGGTAAACAATGCCTTTCCTCAGGCATCACGAAGTACGTCAGCACATCTCCATCATCTCTTCCAGGGACATCTGCAACTCCACAGACTGCAGGGAGGAGGCGCCACCACCGATGGCGAGTTTCTTCAGCATCTCCATTGAAGTCAGCACCACCTAAGAAAGGGGGGGGGCAGAAATCAGACGACAAGAATGACAAAAGAGGTGCACGAATGTGAAGCCTGACGTAAAGAGTCGGTGAGAGCTCGGGCAATGAGACGTGTCGGGCTGGTTTCTTTAACTTTTCATATGAGCGTTTTCTCTGCATGCATAGTAGAAAACACTTTTCCACCCGAGGGATCAGCTGTCACCGCTGGTATTCAGGCTTTTGTTCTCTCGGTGCTATTAATCAATACTGAGACAGAATTGCCTTTTGAGAAGTGCTGCTAACTACAGCTCCCTTGAGTGGGCAATTTTCGGCGTTTGATCACTCATGAAATTTGACGGAGGTATGTGAAGCCAAACAAAAAACTCTACCACACTGAGACTCTGCTTTAAGGTCTGTGAGGGTGTTTGAATATTTCAAAGGTTCCCTAACCTCCACTGTGATGAGTTTCTTCTCCCAAGGCCTGTTGTCTGGGTCAGGCCACTTCTCCCCGAGGCAGAAGAACAGGGAGCAGGGGGGGCAGTCTCTCCCATTGATGAAGTCCATAATTCCTAGAGGGATAAGACCAGCGCCCACTGTGTCAAGCCCACATTTATTCGTGGGTGTGCTACAAAGCTGCATTATGTTTCCTTTCACCCACCTCGCACAAAGTCCTTGAACATGAAGAGCGGCTGCGGCTGCAGTTTAGAGATCTCCTGAGGCTGTTGGCTGCTATCAAATTTGGAGAAGCTCCAAAACGCTTTGATCTCACCCCGTCGCTGGCCGTAGACCACGTAGCCGGACACGCCCACGTCCAAACCGCCGCCCAGCTTGTCCAGGATGCGTCGGGTCAGTTTGGCTTGAGTTTGATCCGACATGGCTCCAGGAGCCGGCAGGAACACCATGGTCAGGCCAGATTCCTTGTCCAAAAGTGTCCCTGTGACTTCAGGGCTGATGTGATGACAACATGTTTGTTTGAGTGTTTGAACAGCAGATCATATGAACAGAACAGGAATAGTTTGACATTTTGGGGAATATGCTTATTTGATTTAGTGCCATGAGTCAGATATAACCATAGACTTTATGTAAAGACGGACAATGTGAGAGCCCCCCAAGAGTGAAGCCAAAGCATCTTGATCGCCACCTAGTGGCTGGCTACAGTAGAGGTCATGAATCCAATGACTTCTGGGACTAGCGCCAAACTAAAAACATGTCAAATAAAATGTTCTCATCGATGGTTTGTCAAGTGCGTGTGCTGGTGAGACTTTGATAATGTGGTTCCCTCTCCTGATTGGCTCCAGATGCAGAAGATATGGGATATTCGGCTACATTTCTGGATAGTGGGAGGAGGTGGGGAAACTTTGTCCACCTTTAGTTACACTGAGCATCACAGGTACTGGAAGGGGAATTCTGTTGCCTTTGGGCAGTGGCAGGCTAACTGTTTCCCCCTGTTTCCAGTCTTTGTGCTAAGCTAAGTACCTATCAGACACAAGAGAGATTTCCCAAAACTCTGAGTCAATTTAAGGCTAGTGTTGATATTGAAGATCTGTCGGACATGTTTGGTCAAATCACTCTGATGTTACCTGTAGACTAAGCGGAGCCCAGCTTCATTCACAACCTCGTGCTCCATCACCTTCAGCCCTCTGTAGTACACCGACACCCTGAACTGTGTCTCTGAGGTTTAAGGAGGAGGAGACGTGCATGAGAGCAGGTTACAAAAATAGCCACCACACCATACATGGCCTGGTGTGGCCATATAGATTCAAAATGTCCTTCTGATAGATATTCATTTCTAATGTTATTATAGGAGGATAGTTTGAGTGATTGTGTGAACCCCACATTTCATTTGCACAGCGCCGTCTGTCAACTCACTGAAATGATCTCCGTCGTTGCTCTGGTTCATGGTGTGTAGGAACTGCTCCACCAGCTGCCCACCACAGGCCCCTCCTACAGCTCCCCCCGCTGGATGTGCCGGTTGCTCAGGCAACCCAGTTTCACTGCCCGCACCCTCCAACGTTACTGGATACTGCTGTTGCCCGGGCAACGCATATCCACCAATCACCACCTCTTCCTGCAGCTGCTGTTGCTCGGGAACAGGCTCAAAGGCTGTGGTTCCCTCTGTAGAAAAGTTGGAGAGCATAATAAAAAAAACCTGTTTCGAGGAAAGTACCTCGTGTTACTCTTCGGTTTCCTGCGCGTACTGCGGCAGCGAGGAGGAAATGATGAGCAGGGCAGATAAGTCTACCTGTCTCAGGACCAATGTGCAGTTCGTTCAGACACTCCTGGAGAATATCCTGGTTGATGGTGGGCACTGTCGGAGACATTGATCTATTCAGAATCATCTAAACAGAGATTACACATGTCTAACTATCAAATTAATGGCAAATAAATTAGTAAATGTATCTTCCAAGATACACAAATCATTTAAATGAATAAATATTACAAGAGGCTCCTTTACCTGCAAACACAGTTTCTTCTGCAAGGTAGAGGCAGTCGTCAAAGCACGTGATGTCCTGGCTCTAATCACACATACGCATCCGAATGAGTTCTTATGTTGTTACATCATTACACATCCTTTAGGAGGCATTTGCATACATCACAAACCCTGTGAACAGAGACACTTACCTCCTGTATGGGGAGGCCGCACTTCTCAAACAAAGCAGGGTCCTCTTTGTCGAGGGTTCCAGGCGAAGACTTGGAAGAAGCTTTGAGGGTGAAAGCAAAGAACTACGCTTACTATCTTTTTATTCTCATCTAAAACACAGCTTCAGTGTTCTGATCCCATGTAATTGGACAAAATTAGAGATGTTCTGATAACATTTCTCCCTCCCTGATACCTGGAGTCTGCGGAACAAGTACTGATCCGATACCAGAGTGTAAAAACTTCACCTCCAGGGTGAAATTTGCCAAATTGCTGATGCTCCACTAGTGGAAATCACTTCTTCTTCATTGCTCCAGAAATAGTACTTGCCGGTGGCGGCACAGTGTTTGAATTTTGTAGATTTTTTGGTGTTATTTCTGAGTTTTGAATGCCATGTGCCAATGAAAACGTGTCAAGTGAACATTTGACAGGATTGAGTCCTTTTCAACTTGCAATACAGAACCAAATGGTGATTGTCTGCGGACACCCTGATGGGTCCTCACCTCCTGACGCTGACTCGTCCGGCCAGTGAAACACTTTGTGGGGGTCGGCGGTTTCGTTCTTTTTGTCGTTGACCATTTTAAAGCCTTTTGATCGCAGGGCGCTGCGGAAGTTCCTCTTCCAGACCGAGGCGTCTCCATGAGCCCGACCATTGCCGCTCACCTCAGCCCAGGCCTAAAGGGAAGAGAGAGGTAGAAGGAGTTCAACTATATGAACAGATAGAGATTAACTACATGATGGACCATCACTGTCACTGGGTAGAACACCATTACAACATGGTATTTCAATCTCATGTGTGATTCCTGTCTGTGACGTGTTCCTGAGTGTTACCTTAAAGATGAGAATGTCAGTGTCGGAGGAGTCCTGTCTCAACGCGTGTTTCCAGGGGACGGAGAACTCTGTCTGTTCCGGATTCGTCCACTGGACACCAGGATACCTGCCGCTGTCGATCTGAGTTCGCAGCCACGGGATGAGCAGCGGCTTCGAATGTGACATTTCTGCAGGAGCAAGTAAAACTGAGAACAAAGAGAGAATTTAAACCATTTAATTGTAGCCACAAACTTAGGTTTAGTATTAGTAGTATTAGTATA